CCCCCCCGCTTCCAGCTGTCTGTTGTGTGCGCACCCTTGTAAGCACGCGCACTGTCTCTCTCCCTCTTGTGTGTGTCTCTGCCTGTTTGTTGTGCGCCTGTCTCGCCCCGCCTGACTGTGACGTGCCTCTCCACCTGCTTGTGCCTCTGCCTGTTATCCCTCCGCCTGTCTCTCTCTCTCTCTCTGTGCCTGTAATTGCTGCACAGGGGAATTGCAGTTTGACATTGCTGCCTGTCTGTGTGCCTCTGTTCCCACGGCACCTGACCGGTTTCTCCCCTTTTCCTGACTGTGCCCCGCAGGTGATGGGGATTATTCGGGTCCCTCTGTACACGCTGCGTGATGGATTTGGAGGACTGCCTGCCTTCCTGACCAACACGTTCATCGGAAACGCCAAGGAGCAGCTGGTCTCTGCCCTGCGGACCCTGCGGCTGCTAAATGAAGCTGAACTCCAGGCAGCGGTCAGTGCCAGTCGTGTTGGCTAGTGGTGGCGCCTCTGCCAACTCCCAGAGGGTTCGTGGAGCAACCGGCTGGCGACGAGGGAACTCTCACACTCACTCTCACACTCACTCTCTCGCACTCTCTCCCTGTCACACTCGCCCTGTCCCTGTCACGCTCGCCCGGCCTTCTTCTTTCTCTCTCTCTCCCGCTCCCCCTCCCCAGCCCCGCCTGCCCTCCCTCTCTCCCGCCCACGTGCTCTCTCTCTCTCTCTCTATCGCCTGCTCTCTCGCTTCTTGCCCCCCGCTCTCTCTTGCAGGTCCCCCCCACCGACTCTCTCTCACTCTCTCTCACTCTCCCACTCAAACACTCCCTTGCACTGCCAGAACGCACCTCTTCTGCATGTCTTGTTAACCAGGCGCCGGAGTGGCGTTCCTGTCGAGTCTGATCATCTCGTGTGGCTCGCCGACCGTACACTCACACCTCCTACGCTGCCCGCCCCGCGGCCAGACGGCTGGCATCTGGATTGTCTATCGCACCGCCCCTTCAGCCCCGGCCCCCCCCTCCCCCCCCCCCCCCCCCTCCACCCCTGACTGTGCCCGCTCCCTCAGTGCTGACCCCCCTGATTGTGCCCGCTCCCTCAGGATGGCGCTTGGAAATATCTGCCTGGATTCAGGAGGATTGAACAACTTCAGCGTGGGCATGAGGAGTAACGAGCAGCCCCGGTCTGTTTTATTGCGTTGCAGTTGCTGATGGCGTCGAAGAGAATTTAATACCTGCCGTGTTGGCCCGAAGAGTCACTGAGAGACTGCTTTCCCTCTGACTGCCCTCAACTGAAGCACAGAAGGGGACAGCCCCACTGCAGACTGGAGTGCGGGACAGCGACGGTTATCCTGTCGTCTCCCCTCGCCAGGGTACAGGTGGAGATGGAGGAGTGGGGCCGCTGGGATTGGACTATTGTGGGGTGGGGTGTTGGTGTGTAATGCCAGGCACCCACTGAGCATCACGGTGTCTCCTCGCAGCCGCCCCCCCCACCCCCCAACCCCAGACTCGGTGCGATTATGTGCATGCGTGTGTGTTGTCGATGTTGCTGGCGAAAGCATGAGATTTCGAGAAATAAACGCACAATTGTCGGAGCTGTCTGTTCTCGGGGGGGTGTGTGTGTGTGTTTTTTTTTATTAGAACCTGCCCTCGGCCTTCGGCCTTGCCACCCACCTCGCCCTGCCCCAGTGTGCGGATGTACGGGAGCATCCGAGCTCGCTCTCTCTGCCCCTCCTGGGCCAGCAGGAAGGCACTGAGGCCAAGAGCTGCGAGCGGTGCCCATTAATGGACAAGAATTCTCCCGGAGTGACTGAGACAGCACACAGTGCGCTGTTTTTCCATATTCTAATGGTCTCTTGCTGTAACACTCTGTGTACTCACTCGACCCAGCATCTCTCTCTCTCTCTCTCTCTCTCTGACACTCTCTTCATGGTAATCATTGATGGTTGTGTTAAAACACACCATTGGCCTCAGTCCAGGGCCAGGGACACAAATTGTCGGGACTCTGCCCCACTTTACCTGTTTTCTCTCTCTCTCGTGCCCTCTCTCGCTCGCCCCGTCTCTCTCGTGCCCTCTCTCGCTCGCCCCGTCTCTCTCGTGCCCTCTCTCGCTCGCCCCGTCTCTCTCGTGCCCTCTCTCGCTCGCCCCGTCTCGCTCGTGCCCTCTCTCGCTCGCCCCGTCTCTCTCGTGCCCTCTCTCGCTCGCCCCGTCTCTCTCGTGCCCTCTCTCGCTCGCCCCGTCTCTCTCGTGCCCTCTCTCGCTCGCCCCGTCTCTCTCGTGCCCTCTCCCGCTCGCCCCGTCTCTCTCGTGCCCTCTCTCGCTCGCCCCGTCTCTCTCGTGCCCTCTCTCGCTCGCCCCGTCTCTCTCGTGCCCTCTCTCGCTCGCCCCGTCTCTCTCGCTCGCCCCGTCTCTCTCGTGCCCTCTCTCGCTCGCCCC